TCTCGTCACCAGTGGAGAAACTCGGGTGGGAAGAACGCGTACGAAAAACTTGAGCTGCAGAAATAAACCAGGGGGTTTTGGGGGGGGTTTTGTACTTTGCGGTGCAAGGAAAACAATGCATTGTTATTATTATTATTATTATTATCATCGCTATTTTGGAAGTTATGTGTTTTCAATATAAACAGAGGAAATGCAAATAAACAGAACTATACATCGATTTTATTGACCAGGAATGATGGCAATAAAATGGCATGAAACCTCATGATCATAATGGTGGTGACGACGATGATGGCCCGAAGCTTCTTAACCCATGCGCTTCCTCACCTCATTCCTCACTTCTTATAATTAAGAACACCACAACGCCCACGCCCGACTGACTCTCTGAGAAAGAAAGTTAGAATTTGGATACGATGAATATGCTATCCAAGGAGCCAAGCTGCTGAGCAAACACTTCCATCGGTAGCCAACCTCATCCTCAGCAATGAAAGGTTCCAGGCATTTCAACAGCCATCCGCATATATTATGTGTTTATCGCTCGTCCCATATCTGACATGGTTTAGTTTTCATCCACCCATATTCAATGATTTGGCAAGGAACGGGAGTGCAAGGGTAGGGGGACATACCAATACATAACTTCCCTCCGCTGAGCTTCCGACACCTATTCAAATACCCACACACGCAATTGACATCACAAATCCTTCTTTGCCTCCTCACCCAGCGAAGATTCAGATCCAACAGAGCTCGTCATCTCCCACCCGAAATCCTCGCTCTGTTTCCTCCTCAGCTGACCGCGTTCCTTCATTGCCCCACGAATCCGCTTACTAACCTCTTCAAAACTCTCCTTGGAATTCAACGTACTGAACGCTTTCAACGGCATACTTCCGGACCCAGTTAAGCCGCCACTCGAACTACTCCGACTCCGACTCCGACTGGGCGGGCGCGTAGAGAAAAACCCGATCTTGCTGATATCGTGGAACGATTCGTTGGGTGGTAGGTGGTTTGGCACAAATGACTCTCTTCTGGATGTAAGTGTCGAGGAGTCTGGCTCGTCCGCCGCAAATCCAAGATAATTTTCTCTATATACTGTGGATGGTTCATTTGTGAATAGGTTTTCTTTAAATGGATCCGCGATGACCCTGTCAGAGTCGAAGTCGGGAAACATCTCCGGCCCAAGCGTGTTGATTAGCTCCGTTACTTCGTGTGAGAGCTTGACTCGCCGCTTCCGGAGCTTAACGAGGGTGTTCGCAGATGTGGGGTTTAGGGATAGAACGAGCGGGCGTAGGGATTTCAGGATATCCATTCCTATCTCACCAGTTCGCAATGCTGCATAGGTAATCGAGGGGAATAGCCAGCATCCAAATATTACCACTAGCCAGAGGGGGACCCATTCGGGAACGTACCCCTGGACACGATTTCGATAGGTCCAGTATGTGAGAATAACGGTGTAGAATGTATAGAGAAGAGGTGCAAAAGCTAATGCGACTAGTAGTTTCCACGTAGCCATGACATCGCGACCCTGGATTTTGACGCTAGACGCAGCCAATGCCTCCTTCGATTTTCTTATCGAAATCATCTTGGTAGCTACGAACACAGGCGCGAAAAGAACAAGGCCTGGCAACGTTCCTATGGCCATGATACTGATCTTTCCAAGGCGATATATCAGGGTCGAAACCACCTTGACGATGGAAAACTTGGCATACTCTATCTGATGGTCGCGGATACCCAGCAGCCGCAGCTGCCTGTTATAATCCATAACGGACTTTTTCAATTTTACAATTCTAGGATCGTCCTTGTATTGAGCATATCCCTTCACCATGCGACGGTTTAGCTCTACAACCATTGGGAGCGGAAGTTTCTTTCCCTTTGGGTTGTATAACCGCCTTGCTGCGTGGATTAACTGCAGACATGTTAGTAAAATTGCTTATCTTTTCACATGGACAAGGGGAATGCAAACGAACCATAAGTGTTTCATAATCGGGTCCAACTACCGTCACGGCGACCAGGGCCTGATAGATAGTGTCCAATAACCTGCCCACAGCTTCGCGTCGTTTACCAGCTTTGTACATCTGGACAAGTTCCGGTGGCACTTCAATTGGGTTTCCGAATTCCACCACTGCCCGAGAGCGGAACTTATGGGCATGGAAGTAGTTCATGCCACAGGGTACAATTTTTACGTCGCAGTCGGGGTTTTCCGCTAGGGCACCCAATGCCATCAATGCAACGCCAGCTACAGATATCTATCAGCTCTGATTCGGATAAAATCAACTTCCAGGGATCTACGAGTACCATACCTTTCAAAGGAAGTAAATTAGGTCTATCATGGCTACCACCTTCAGGAAATATGCCAATACAACCCCCAGAATTGAGAGTCTGAAATACCGCCTTATACACATGCGTCTGATCGACATGTGGAGCAACTTTAAATTTGGACCCAGTGAACCCTGAGAGGTCCTGATCTGCAACACTTCCAGTAAATTTCAAGTCATCAGATATATCTGTGTGCCCAGTGAGCTGATAGAGAGCGTCCTTGTGCATGAAAGGCTTCTTCAAAATGATTTCCTCCGGTCCATGAATCTCCCCAATATCAGTGGAATGGGCCTGGCCATTTATTGGCGGTAGAGAGATTGTGCCTCCAATTTCGAAATCCGGACCATCAAAATTTGTGCCAATGCCCCTCAAGAGCGTAGGGTTACTGACAGGGTCTGGGAGATATATGGTTCCCTGAACCGGTTTCAAGTTATCCATAGCTCTGGACACGGGCAATGCGCCAGCGGCTTTTGCCAACAGCCCGACGAATCTCCGCTGGAATGATTTTTCGGCGATAAGAAATGCTATTCGACGGTTGAGTTCTCTCCGTGCAACGAGCATCAAAATTAAGGAGTCCACAAACTATATATGGATTGATAAATGCGATGTTCGTTAGCAAAGTTCATAGCCATATAACTCAGATAGATAAAAATTTGCTATAATGTAGAACGTACTTGATTGGCATGTGGGGCAGCCACAAGGATTATTGGTCCCCGTTTAGGAACCTTCCATGAACCCCGCGGGTGAACTTCTCTGAAGAATAGATCGATAAGAACAGCTAAGGACCATAGCAATAAGTCGTAGAGCCATCCGATTTGGTGGCTAAGGGGCTTGTGAGCCATCTTTCACCGGGGTTTATCCTTCTCGCAGTCTCCAGCAGTTTAAAATAAAAATAATCGATATAAAAAATAAAATTTCCTTGCAATATCGCGCTTGCTATAAATGCTTGACTTTATATAAAGTGGGTGTAGGTTGACCGAGGATATCGAAATCGTGGGGGAGAGGAGGTGGGCGGGGAACAGGGTGAGGTGGAATGTTTGATGGCGGCAGCCAAATGGGACAATCGGAAAATATGGGTATTGGATGGGAATACCCTTAAAACCCGCAATCCAGAAATCAAGCAAATGCGATTCGGTTTAGCACTTTTAGGAGTGTATCGGTATAATAAACCCAGGGGGGGACGGGGGGGGGAAGGGGGTGCGCCTTCAAGCTAGCATAACTCTTGCGCGGACTAAATAGGCTCCCATCGAGCGCAGTCAGCAGCGAGTTGCGGGAGTCAGGAATGGGTATGATAAGGATGGAAGATATCAATTCTCGTCATCCTGGAACAACCTGGAGAGCGTCAGTTATTCTTCGTTGGGGATGGCGAGAAGATATATGGCGGCAGTTGTGGCCAATCCGGAGATTGTGTGAGTGAAATCAAAGATCCGAGATTGTCAACGAAGATAAAAATATTTAAACCCACTCAAACCATCAATCAATCCACGAACTCCCTAGGCAGGTAACTAAGAAAACTAAACTAGGAAGACAACAGGTTTTTACTGCATTTTCTTGCATTATGTTTCTTTTCTTTCTTTCCTTTTAAAATATCATCATCATCGGAGCGGTTGTACCTATGTTTTAGTTTTAAAACTAATAATGACCACAGACGTGGTATGGTAAATATTTAAGTCAGAGGTGAATATCTTCCAGCTCTACCAAATAACTAGCAATATTGACACCATTTCCTGAGAAACGTGAACAAGAAACCTTAGGATACGTAGAACCATCTGCTGTTAACCAGATCTACACAGTTCCTTCACCCACGCAAGCAACTTCGTGAAGGCACCATGGACATGTCACAACATTCGCAATTCCTCTTTCATGGCAATAAATCAATGGTGAATCAATCTGGCGGATGAAAGCTCCATTACATATCATTTCATGAAGATAGATCTGATCCCCCTGCATGCAGCATTCTGAAGATCCCTTGCTTCATGATCCCCGAACCTCAGGAACCAGGGGTGTTGGTTGATACAGAGCCACCAATACGCTGAGGTTCCATGCAGATTAGTTGACCAGGGCAGCTGCCCATATTTCTCCTCTTCATCCGAAGAGGTCATGCGAGATTTTCTCCAATGCGTATCACGCTCAGCAGTCCAGTCCACAGAGAGGGTAAAGACATCCATGGATTGTTTTGGTCATCCCTTTCCCGTACGACGAGTATCTTCTGGACTGCACACCCAAGGATAATCAGAAAGTACCTTACCTTCAGGGACCTTTATATCAGGGAGCTAAAGACATTAAGTTAACTAATGCAACCAATCAGAATCTTTTGAAAGATGGCTACGCTTATGTTCTCTTTTCATCCGGGAGATATGGTCGTGTCATGGGCCAGATTGAAAAGCAAAAGAGCCAGTCAGTGCCCTAATACACGGTGAAGGAGAATATGCTCATGTTCTCCTCCACGTATTTGTTACGTATTTGTTACATGGGCGGAAATGGTAGTTATGGGAAGCGAAGTGCATAGACGTTTTGATAGCATGAGTGGGAAATGAACAAGACTCGGAGTCAGTGATCTAAACAGCATCTCCCACAATGTACACGCAGTCATCGTCATATAAACTATCCATCAATGGAAAACAATATTAATCAAATTAATCAATTAATATATAAATTATGGTATGAAGCAATTATGGTAGCAAAGCCTGCTGTTAAGGAGTGCGTAAGCTCTGACCCGCAGAGCGACTTTCAGCAATCCTCAACCGTTCCAAAAGCACACTATTCCTCTTCTCCCACTCCGCCGCCCACTCCTCGTCGCGGTCCGCCACAGCTTTCTCAACCTGTATCTGACTCTCAATCTCAATCCTCCTCATGCGTTCCACAAGGTGGCGATCCCGATCCTTCCACCGCATCTCCCACATATCGTCAACCTCATTCTTCGCCCGCTCGATACTCTCCGTCATCTGCTTCTGAAGATTCTCCAGTCTTTGCCTCAAATCGTCAATGGTGAAGTCTCGCGATCTCAACTCCTGGCGGTATACCTGATCGATATCGTTCAGCCGCTCCCGCATCGTAGCCAGTTCCTGATCCCGCACATGCAGCGCCTTGCGGTGATCACGGTCTATGCTGCGGATTAGACGGGTGTAGTGGATACTGACGTCATTTTCATCTTCCATTGGAGGCGGAGTTTCTGTGTCTGCATGGCCTTCTTCGACTTTTGCGGGGCTCTGGGGGACAACTAGAGAATGTGTGGGGATATTTGGCAGCGATGAGCTGTGATGATAGGGTCCGTCATTTGGCGATAGGTGTGTCGAGTACGAAGGGGTCAGAAATCCACTGCTAGTACCGTGTGCTATAAATTCTGGCGATTGTGAGAATTTTCTCTGTCGTGAACCAAAGCTGGGCCCCGCTGAATGTGTTATATGATCACCGGATGAAGTGGTGTCTTGGTCTTGCTCTTGATCGGATGAACTACCAAATTGAATATTGGCTAAACTGGTGAAAAGTTTGGGGAGTCGAACACCGTTCCTCCGCCTAAGGTAGCTTGCATCCTTACTCTCAGGAAGAGAATGTATATTATCTGTTGCTATATTGCCCTGAGAGGCAGATCGTCTTGTCGGAACAACAGATATCCTTTCTGGTCCAGGGTTGAATGATGGGCTGCGATAGACACCATTCTCATCCAGAGTTTCCGAATCTGCATTAGATCGGTTTGCGCTTGGTAACTTTGATAAATCAAACATCGAGTTTGAATTTAGTAGTCCTAGAGAAGCTCTAACATTGTCCTGGGATATACTTGACGATTGTCGTCGATGACGGGGCCTATCCATCCAAAAGGGAATATGCATGCGGCTTCTTTGTGTCGGCGCAGGCGTAGGCGAAGGTGCAGGCGCAAGCGCAAGCGCACGCGTTGGTGAAGGAACACGCATTGGTGTAGGCCCAGTGGGAGTAGCTGGTTCAGGCGGTTGCGAGTCATCTTGGGTCCCAGCATTTAACTGACCGCTGAAAGGTGTGTAAGCCGGGACTGGGGGAGAATATGGAGGTAGGTCACTATCTGCTGAGACGGATATCTTCGACCCATCCCGATTGATATGAAAGAGCTTTCCGCCTAGCAAAATGTCAACGCTTCGAACGCTTCGAGTACTTCGAGCATCATCTTGTAGCGTAGCAATCGTAGAGCTTGTCATCGTCGACACGATGCTCGAAGCCCTGCTTGGTCGCTGACTCAGTGTCGTTGGCATTTCAGCAGCCTGTATAGGTGTTGTTGTTTCTTGTTCGGATACATGTGGCCTTGGAGTAGCATTCACTCTGTTGTTAGGAAGCCCAAATATCCTTCCGAGGAATGGTGTTCCCAATGCTGCATCTTGCTGGTCATTTCTACGAGGAGTCATTGGGGTTTCTGGGCGGGTGGTAGAATCCTCCATGGTGTAGACAACCAGCAATCAATTAAGGTAGGTAACGCTATTTACCACCATTAGTTTATCGTCTCTGGCACCTTCAGCTAAGATTTTCACAGCTTCGTATACCTAGTACCGCTCTATCGTTATCAACAAGGGTTCCTAAGAATTACCAGCGAGTAAAATCCGAACCCAGGACAAATGCCCGCACGAACAAAAGAGATCGTTTATTGTTTGAAATATCGTTCTTGATGCGATTGCGGGTTCCTGGATGGCATAACACTCTCTTCACCTGGTCACCCTCCGCAACTATGAGAAGGGCTACAAACCCGTAATAGTTGTCATATTTTAGACAGCTGTCACTGCAGGGATTCGAGCGAAAACATGAGAAACAGTCGAGCTCACGAAACGATTGAGAATAGCTTTAGAAAAGGAGATATATCTCAGTGATCTCCCTCAACTTGGCCACATAGAAGACTTCGATGATCCAACAGAGACAACCAGGAACTGTGATACTGAGAGTTAACATTTGAAAGCTTCAACAACTGTTGTTGCCTATGACGCTTCTTTGTCGAAGGCTTGAGGAACCAGCCTGGTGGGGGCTGAGCCAAAGGCTGTCCTCCAAATATTTAGTTTCATGTGAAGCTAGCAACCAGTCCCAACCAGTCGCAACCAGACGCAACAAATCGGACGGGACATAATGTCTGCAGAGCGATTGACGGTCCTGTCAAGGTCAGCTGCATTCTTCTTTCCCCCCTCGCCCGGATGGTTAGTTAGCTAAATCCCTAAACCGAAAATAGCTATTATGTAGTTAGGGAAATACAGTAGTTTAATTAGTTATTGGAGGGGTTTAAAAAGCCGTTCGGTTATTCTCCAAAGTGTTCAGCGCCTGTGGAGGACGAGCGGGACTAGCTGCCAATTGTTCTCAGGCATCATCATTGTTCTTCACTCTCCTCGTCCGCTGTTATCAGCAGGTGACTAGAGATATTTGAAAATCGGAAGCCGAAAATGTAGACTTCAAAAGTGACATTTCAAGGCCGATAGGGTTAAGGGTTAGAGCCCTGTTCAGCTCGAGGCAGACTGGTTTGGTGGCATGTACAATATTGTGGTAACTATTTGAGTTGTATGGCCAGAGCTCTGCCAAAAAACCCCTGCCAATGAAACCATCCTTCGTTTCTGCTTAAAAAGTTTCTGCGTGATACTGACCTGTTGATAATCATTATTATTCCTTTTCAAAGTTCTGATCCCAAAGGAAAAACATCCATGACTCAACTTGCAGACAATAATACGAATAATATGTCTAACATCGCATGCACAGCAGTTTTGACGCTTGAATGAGAGAGAACTCCATTGATGGTCGCCCATGGAACAAGCCGTTAAATTACATCCCTTTCTACATGACCATCTGCCCAATCTATGCATCCTTGGAGACTGCAAAGAAAGCATACGGTGTTATATTTATAAAATAAGTAATTCTCTTATTAACAAGGAGTGTTTTCTGTCCCCCTACTGCACAATTGAGAAAAGACGGCTCAACGGAACTTATGTTTAGGGTCAAGTTAGGTAGTTTTAGTGTCTCCATGACTCTGCCAGGACACTAGATCTGGTTCAAGAGTTACAGGCTGTTTTCAACACTGCATTTAGCTGTTGTATCTCTACAGAATGCAAGAATACGTGGACAGCTTGCCTTTCGTCAACCAAGGGCGTTCCCTGTACAGAACCGTTTATCACTTACGTACATATTGGGATCGGAATTGATCCGCTGATAGCAGAAGTGAAACCCTTCCCCCCGGATAATAAGCATCATCATGCGTGGGAAATTTCGAACAAGGTTGAAACTCTGCTGCACACACTAGATAATTTCCGCTGGGATACATTCCGCTGAATTGGCTGTTGGTCCCTAAGGATTTCCTTTTAGGCTAGCAATTTCCATAATTCTCAGCAGGATACAGATCATTTCGCAGAAAATATTCAAGAAGATGCCGCCTCCTTGAGACACCTTCCTTGGGTAAAGGTCCATAAATCAGGGAATGCTAAGAGCATATTCATTGGATGATTTCCCTAGGGAAAAGGAGAGTTATATGGCAATGGAGGCACGTTGCGAATATCCATGAGAAGTACGGAGTAATTCGCATTCCGATATCCAGTCATCTAGAATTCAGGGGTTGCGCATATGCGGGTGCCAGCACATGCGCAACACGCGGCTGGCGAGTAAATCAACAGGAGAACAAACTCCATTACCAAAGCTCAATCCAGTGCGGGTCTGCGGATAATGTTACTGGCGATTTTTTGTTTAGAATAGGCTGGTGCAAGCCAGCGGGTGCAGACTAGCTATGATTAAACAACGACAATCCCGCAGGGGAGAATGGAGGCGCCCGTGGTCTCGAGGCGATGAAAATGCATTATCCGAACTGATTGACCATGGTGGGGGAAGTGGTTTTGTGTGCAAAGCAAAGGAGAGATCAAATATGAAACACATGAAACTTATGCTTGAAGGGAAGTGAGTGAAGTGAATATATGTTGAGTAAGTACAAGATAGACATTGTGCAAAACTAACAATAGATAACTAAAAAGTTGAAATCTCAATAGTAATTAAAAGCTGACCTTTATTGATGAAAAATCTTTAATTTTAATAAAAAACTTAATAAATAAGAAAAACTTATTTTTTTATATTATAAATATATAAGATATAATTAATTATTTAATTATAGAATATTTTTTAAAAATTTACTTAAAATTATAATAAATTAAAATTAAAATTTATATATAAATAAAAATAAAATAGAAAATTATTTAAATTATTTAAAAATAATTTAATAATATTAAAAATTAATATATAATTTATTATTTAATTTTAAAATTTTTAAAATATAAATATAATAAATATTTATTAATTAACTTATTTTATAATATTAAATTATAATTTTTTAATAAAATATTTATATATTTAATTTTATTTTATAGTAAAATTATAAATTATTTAAAAATTAAAATTATTATATAATATTTAAAATTTTAATAAATTAATTAATAATATATAAATATTTAATAATTTTTAAATATTTATTGATATAAAATAAAAATTATTAAAAAAATTAAAAAATTATTTTTTAATTATTTTATTTTATTTTATTTTATTTTATATTTTTATTTTATTTTTAATAAAATTTTATATATATATTAATTAATTATTAATTTATTTAAAATTTTTAATATAATTTTAAATTTAATAAATTTATTTTAATTTATAATTAAATTTAAAGTAAATTAATTACTTTTTAAATAAAAATATGTTTAATTTTAATTTTAAATTTTTAATAATTAAAAATTTTAATTATAAAAATTAAATTAAATAAAAATTTTATAAAAGTTTAAAATTATTGGTTATAATTTAAAAACAAACTATAGTAATTAAAATATCAAGATTTGCAAGTAATGAAATAATGAACTTTGTTATTGTGAAGTAATATCTGAATGTATTTGCTGCAAATGAGAAATAAAAAGAAAAGAGGCTTAGGCTACTATATCACCTGCTGAGCCTCTTGAACAGCCTGTTATTCAACACCCCACAACCTCTGTCAGCAGAGCCTAGGCGTTGAATACAAGCATCAACAGAGGCGCTGGCATGCAAGAATAAAATGCTCTGAACGTAGTTTGATTTAATTTAATTTAATTATTTGCTGCAGAGCGTAAAGTATTCAGGGTATGATCTAGTCATTTTTGAATTCGTTGCTCGCTCGATTTTGGGAAATTAATAGCTAGTTAAGTTCCGCCGCAGTACAAGTGCAAAATGTGGGGAGGGCTCAAAAGCAAATCCACGGGTAATTAATTATCCAAGTCGTTCCCAAACACTCACCTCCTGGCTCATCCCACCCTATTACTCACAACGGCTGCTGGAAACCAGAGATAATAATCTGTTCTACCCGCGTCCTTCATCAACTTTCGGCTATTTCGGTTCTATTCCCCGCCTGCTCCTTCCCGCCGATAGTTAGTTAGTAGGTAGGTTTACGGTACTTACCTGCCCCGCTATTTCAGTCCCAGCTACCAGAAGTCAGTTAACGCTGATCCGTTAGGAACGCCTCAAGCGCCGGTTAAAATTGCTTGGGCCTCTTGATGATCATATCGCTTGATCACGAATATCGCTGTTGCATATCTGCTTGTGTCTGCAGGAGGTATTGCGTGGGCTCTGTAAGTTGGCGATCTCCTCCACATTCGCAGTCTGGATTCGGAGGTTGAGGTTTGACGTCGAAATCTGCCCATATAGCTGCCCCTCTTCCAGATAGTAACAGAAATCAAACCCACAGAGGCCCGGTAATAGACAGTTTCAAAAGGTACATATCCGAACCTCCATGTGTCTTCGGAGTCTCCAGCACATGAATCAGCATATTACCATACTGGACCACTTCCCTTGGCTCGGAAATGAAGGATATCACCGGGCACTCAAAGCCGTGAAACTTTGATAGTTAACTAATCTTCGCCTGTGAAAGCTGTCTTCCTTGGAATGGCCCACTTTTGCTGACGATTCACAGCTTTCCTCCCACTCAGGGTCTTCGACTAGTGCCACCAACAAGGGAAAGCAGACTGTTGTCCCGCGCATCTCATCCCCAACTTCACCTGCAGAACTGTAACCAGGCATTCCTCACGACGGCGCTCAATTCTAGCTTCTAGTCAATATGTCTATAAAGTACGTATTACCCTTCCCCCCCCCCCCCCCCCCGGTGCCAAAAATATTCCTGCTATCTCTTTTGCGTTCTGTTTCAAAGGGATTGGCATTTCCCCTTCTACTTGGGCCGTACACCCGCCATCTATGTTGTTTGCATATTCCTGGACCGTCCTGATAGGTCGCGTCCCAAACCTTAAACAAGATATTCCTGAGAGAAGATACTATGTGCTCTCAATATAAAAAGAATACAATGCTAAGAAGACTCCGGCCAAGCAGTTGGGTTATGCTTCATGAGACTGAAAGATTTATCCTGCTCCCTAATGAACGGATCATGTATACCTCTCCACCTCGAACATCTCTGTTGCTCCAAAGCAGCAACCCCGGATCAGGCAATGATCATTTGTCAATACAGAGCCACACCGGCTGTGTTTACCTTACTAACCAACGAGTATGTCTACCCTCGTGTTGATCCTATAGTATGATAATTGTCTCACATCAGCTTCAAGATCGTATACCTTCCCGCGTGCCCGACTTCAGAATTTCAGTCGTTCTCCGCTCCTATGCTAAATCTTCAGGACACTTATGTTTCAGCTCCATTCTTTGGGCCCAATGTCTGGACCGCACAGGTTAAACCCGTTGCCGGGGGAGGCATACCCGCTTCAAACGTCTCTATCCAGCTAAAGATGACCTTCAAAGACGGTGGAGCGTTTGATTTTCACTCCACTTTCGAGAGAATCAAGGAGCGTCTTCAACAGGCAATGGAACATGCGCAGGAGACTCGCAGTGGCACGAATGTTTTTGCCCCTGTAAACTTCTCCGAAGTTCATCTGGAGGAGCTGCCTGCATACGAAGGGCCTGGTAGGCCTACAGAGCCGGATGATGCCATAGGATTACCAGCATTCTCACCAGTTGACCTGCGTGGCCAAAATGAATATGTTTCCAACCAACAAACTAACACCGGCTTGAGGAGAGATAGCTCGACGGAGACCCGCGATACGAACCCAACGGAACCGCCTCCTGGATATGAGGAGGTTCAGCAACAAAGCGTTGCAAATGCTTTTGAAGCACGTATACGCAGCTACCAATGATTTGGATATGGAACTTACCTCATTTCTTCACGTTTTCTTAAACGACGCCGGCAAAAGCCGTCAATGTGTCTTACTTTTAGTTAGTCTGGAAAAATGCGGCCCATCTAACCAAGCTGATGCGTGTTTGTCTTCCTGGTATCTAACATGATGCAATGTACATATAGATAAATTAATGATTGTATGAACTTATTGACTACCATTATATCGACAGCGCGGCAAGGGCGATACGATCGTCACTGGGTTTTGTTTGAAATTGTTCCTTAACTGGCATGGATCCAACGCAGAAACAATCTAGCGATGGCCTCGAACATCAGAAAAACAAGTAAAAAAAATCAAAAACCAGGCTGATTTGGTACAAGATAAGTATCTGAATATTTCTGTCGTTAAGGTTAAAAATGAATTGTGACGTTTTCTGGATCACAATATAGTCCTCCCATATGGGCAACATCCTTGACACTCTAATGAGCAGCTTGGAAATGAATCCTTCAATCCTCATGTATCCTCACCTTTCTCTATCTGTACAATTTTATTCTATCTCCATGACCTGCAATGCACGAATGTTGCCAGTGTTTCTTTGAGCTGCTTATCTAACCCGTCAGAGCAACCAGCCAATCACGTGTCACTTAATTGCAGCCCCACTGACCAAACCCAGGACAGCCCGACATTTCCCTCCACGCAGCAAAACATTGAAGCAAATTTGAACAACGTACGGCTTCAACGAATTGCAATCACAACCTCCAATTTGTCAATTACCCCCGCCGTCCGACATCCTACCACCTTCTAGCCAAAAATGGGTATCGTCGACATGTTCAACGAGCTAATCAACTCGCTGCCTTTCACGGAGGCGCAGGCAGAAGCACCTCCCGCGAAGGAGGCCGAGGCTGCTGCGGACGCAGAGGACACGGAGGAAGAACCTGAGGAGGCTGAGGAAGAGGAGGAGGAGGACGAACCTCAGGATTTGAAGCCTAAGTTTGAGGAAGGTAAGTGTAGTTTTACTTCTGTATCTCGGTGATTGATGCATCCCTTTCGGTGTTTGGGATGGGACTTATAAGAAAGGATCTATCTTCCTCTGTCAGGAGGCTGAATGGACAATTCAGTCTGATTATTGGAGAAATAAGGATGATGATTTCTTAGTTCCTCGGAAATGGGTTGGATAGAGAAGAATAATTTCCCCGAATGTACCCGTCATAGGCAGCCTAATGGATGTGCTCGACGTTGACGATTACCATATCATGCTGAACTTATTTACAAAATACTAACAACTATGATTGCCTTTTCAATTGATAGAATGCGCTAATTCCCCCAAATGCGCTCCCGCAAAGCACCACTTTGACGAGTGCGTTGAGCGAGTCACCCGAAACAGTGAAGAACCCGATTTCAAAGGCCCCCACGAAGACTGCGTTGAGGAGTGTAAGTTCTGTTTGCCATTTTAGTACTATGCGGCCTGTTGTGCATATCCCTTTCTACATATTATTATTGCCCTTTATGCACATGCATCGCGCATCAAAACTCAATTAAGCAAAGATATAGCCGCAGCATGTTTCCTTTTAATTGTCAAACCTTTTTGGCATCGAGGGCAGTTTAGCCGAACCAATCACCAAACATATAGGAGAACCGCTACTAATTTATCTTCTCAAATTGACATCCAGTCTTCCATCTCCAACACTGCGCAACCCAATGCGCTGCGCCCAAACTTTTCCGGACCCTCAAATAAGCATTTCCGTCTCCGTATTCCGAAATGTTCGTATTCCACTTGGATACTGGGAAATCTTTTCTTCTTTCGAATAAATGCCATATCAGTCATCTCGATGGACGGATAATTGACGCAAATACAAGAATGAGAAAGGAATTTTCTATCCGAGATGGGATATGATGTTTTAGCATATAGAAAGGAACGAAATCCCAGACAAAAGAGGAAACCAATGCATTGACAAGCCTGGCCGAGCCACTCTACAATTCCTCCTTCTCGACTTTCTCGCAAACTCCATGAATCGATCGATTAAAAAATATAAAATTAAAAATAAGAACATGTATCATTACATACTATTCCCTTACAAATCACTCTACATGCCTGTACAGATAAACTTAGATTAACATTGTCTTTCTATAAACTCCGTTTCTTGTTTGAATGTGTCACTCATCTCCTATTCCAGTGACTTTTCAGCGATTTCCTAGTTTCTTAAGCTAACAGTTGCTTGGATCTTCTATCCTGTTCCTTTTAACATCTAAGAGGGCTATGGGTTTAAGCTTTCTTGACAATGGACAAGTATTTTACAAAATACACGCCTAATTAAGGAGGTGTGAAAACGTCCAATTAACATGCAAAACATTCGAACAAATGGCAAAACACATCACTTAGACGTACAAAGGTGTACAGTGTGGGGCCGAACATGACGACCAAAGAGGAAGCGATGATAGAAAACCGCAAACCACACAACTTATCTTAATTCTTCAATGAAATCGGAGAATTAGAGTGAAATACCCAATGAAATATCACCACCCCCATATAACAATCACATATCCACTTGCCTACCTAGGTTAGGTGCTTACCTATGTTCTTTTCCCCGTGACATAATATACCTCGGCGTCATTTCTTCCGTTAGGCCTTCCGTCCGCCTCTACCGCCGACTCCGCCTCAAGCCTCCTATTCCGAACTTCGCACCCGAATAGCCCTAAGCAGAGTGGCACAGGCGCCACCACAGCCGCCATCACAGCCTGAAAGATCAACGCTCGCGTCATATTCCTGGGTGGATTAGCATTTTCCCCATCCTTCAACGCATTCTCAATAATAATAAACGACGCTCCCAGCAGCTGCCCGCCCATCCAGCAGATCGAGCTGCTGACCTCCGGCGACATCGGATACGTGATTTCCACTAGGTACTCGAGGATGACAGGCAGTACTGCGAAACTGGATGCGCCTAGAAGCGCGCCGACGACATTGGGTCCCGCGACGCTACTGGCGCGTGGGGCGAAGACGAAGCCGATGTAGCAGATTGCGATGATGGGGATGAGGATCTTTGTTAGGAGAAGGTAGTTCTTGTAGCGGTCCGTGATGGGGGAGGTGATGGCAGCAGCTATGAGGCCGACGACGATCAGCAGAGCGCCTGTGATGCCTGCCTCGGTTTCGCTGAAGCCGTGCGGTTGGAGGATTTGGTTTAGGAGGGAGGAAATGCTGTTGAAGAGGCCGACGTAGACGATGAATGGGATGAAGATGAGCCAGAATTCCAGCGAGCGGAGGAGTTTCATGGGGGATTTGGTGAGGGGGATGCGCTTGATGGTTGCGGAGGGGGTGGGTGGGGTTGGGGGTGCGGAGGGGATGAAGAAAGATGGGATGCAGGTGACGGTGGACTGTGGAGGGCGAGATAGTTAGTTTGAGGTGTTCGGAATATTTGCACAGGTTTGGTTTTGCTTTTTCTTTTATTTTTTATTTTCTTGGGTTTTTTTTTTTTTAGTTTGGGGGGGGGGGGGTGTAAAGATGGTAAAGATGTTCTCTTACAATGATAGATACATAGAGCACCATATTCGGAATCTCTGAGCTCGTTGTCGCCAATAGTGGGCTTATCAATTGTCCCAGTGCGCCGCCAAAGGGATTCGCAAGAGTTGCGATGGCCGTGGCACTGGTTCGACCGCTGCCTGTGAACCATCGATCACTGTATCGCGTGGGCGCACTTAGGCAGAACGGTTGCGCAAGGCCGATTAATATTTGTCCTAGCATCGCGATGCCGAATATGCCATTGCCCGCTCTTGTGCCCGCATAGCGAATCCAGTTGCCGAGAAGGAGGAGGATGGCGGCTGCTGTGAATGATTGCTTGGGCCCACCTTTGTTGAGGGTCAAGATGACGACACTATAGAGTGTGTGTCAGTGACGGGTTAAATATGGCAAATTCTCCTTCTTCTTTTATTTCTTTCTCATTTTATGTTTGGTTTTATCTTGGATGTATGCTTTTGAGATTTCTGGAGCGGGGAGCATACGGTGTTGAGACACAGAAGGCAAACTGGAAGGCGATGCTCATCCAGTTGATCGTGCCCTCCGAGACGCGGAAGTACTCCGAGGCAGTCTTCGAAACAGCAGAGAAAGTTAACCACTATGACAGATATTTCATATTCAAGTTAGCGAATGCTCTCATTCATTTCATCGCTTCCCCTCCATTCTCGGATCCCACGTACATCCCAGCTAACAATCGTATTCAGCAACACCAACTGGGCCAGTCCTACGAAACGGCGTTTATAGACCCTATACACTTGTCTGCCACTGCCAGCAGCATCCTCAAGGACCAGAGGATCGTGCGAACGAGAACCAGTGCTCAATGCAACAAGCTCGCTGCCGGGGGTAGCGGGTTTCACCGTCATCGCAACCTCGATATTGTCATGCACAGGTTCTACCCTGTCGTCCATGGCGAACCCTCAGCAATCATTATTTGATTTCTGGGGATATTCGCAACGTCCGAGGCGTTTATCTATTCTTCTCCCCCTGTTGAGTAGTAGACCTGACGGCTCCGTGTCAAAGGGTTGGTTTAGCTATATTATCCTGTTGTAATTTGCATCCCCAAGGGCTATGTGGGGTCCGTTGGATGTTGAAGTGTCCAAGGTTTCCCCGCTTAATAACTTCAAAGGGAGATGCTGTGGAGTTTGTTTTATTTTAGCTGATAGCTAAGGCGAGGACTAACGCCCGGGCCGAAAGTATTAAAACAAAAGGGTTTGGGTGAAAAGATTAGTTAGCAGAAGCTGAGATGAAGATTATTTAATCTGGCACAAAGATTTATGATTCATTCATGATTCATTCATTGTTCATTGCAAAAGCTCCGAGACTTTTTCTATGTTGGCCGATTTTGGTATTTCTAAACTCTTTTATTAAGAAATTTGTATTGGGAACAACAGCTTTTATTCGATGCCCCATGTAAATTCTAAAATCATCTGCGGAAGTTTAATCTCGATCCAATGCTTGTTGTCCCCGGATCGATTTTCTTAAGTTAACACTTCCAACTCCCCTTAAAAAAGTGTGGCTTTTTCAAGCTAAAGCGCAAAATATTTTAGGTCTCTTCAGCGTTTGATCAATCAAACCTTCAAATTCTGACCCCCTTATTTAAATGAAGCAACCATTTTATTCACGGTGCTTTCAGACGGAGATAAAACGTTTTGCCTACCACACTCTGGCACACAGAAATAAAATGATCGGCTTTAAGAGCTCGTGGAGCACTTGGCCTCTTCAGTCTTCGTATTTGCTCAAAGCCTGAGGCTGGGTTGTCTTTAACCGGAAAAGCTGAATGGAGTCGAGGACCGCCACAGCAGGGGTCGAGACATCCAAGGGTGTCGGAGTTTATTTATGACTATTCTGCATGAAGGTCTAGGTGGTTGGAACCTTGATTTCGAAATTCACCGTCCTGATTTGCTACAGTTCAGTTAGAGCTGGATTGTCTTGACTTTGAGAGTCAGGGGAGGATGCAAGTTGTTAGAATCATGATTGGGCTTGCTGGAGAATGAAATTCCGTGGATGGCAAGGTTAGTGAAAGTCTCCCCATGATTTTTTTTTTTTTTTTTTCTCTGTTTGGGATGTAGATGTTTTTGGGCCTCGATCTATCTGGGGGGTAGCGAACACCGGGTACACAATCCAAGATAGAAGGGTTCCAGGACGAAGACTCCTTGAGTTGGAGGTAAGTTAGTTAGCAGGTAGCCCAAACTGTATCTCAATTCTCAAGCGGTGACCCTTGGGCTGCAGATTGAAGAACCAATTCATGTTCACATTGTGATTAAGTCTCAGCCCTAAGTAAGCTGCTGGTTGGTGGCTTACCCAGCTGGCCTGTCGAGCACCAATCAAGCGAGAAATGCCACCTCCCTTGAGCCTCAGCCCTCTTAGCCATATCACAAACCTCGACCCTGAGGTCAAGTGAGTTGGCAAATGTCCATCCTGATCTGTTGTGAGCTGATATATCCATACGGAGTAGTCTGTACAGAGGAGAACAAGTTGCATGTAATAATATACAATACACAGATACCTGTTGGATGACGCTAAGCAAGGAAACAACCACGTGTGTGAGCCGCTGTTTGGTGTGTATTTTTGCGTATTAATCGTACCGCCCTTGAAACGGGGTCACGGGTACTGTGTCTTGGCAGCCAACTCCCCTATTCTCTCTTGTACCAGGTACTTGACCCATGGGTCGTTGTGTTGACTACCGCCGCCGAACGAGGATCTCAAAAACAATCCATGAATGCTATAAAACCTTCCTCTTTCCTTGTCTCTGGACCATGTAAATGCAGGGCTGCGACCTTCTTTCGCGATCTTCGTCATCGTCATCGAGACTCTTTACCCCTCGAAGGATCCCCGCCGTTTCTCGTTCGTCTTTTTTATCTCCTGGGATCCCATAACCGCCTCCGTTCAACTTTATCACGATATCCAACACAATACCTTGGGAACTACAGCTATCTTTTGCACAGAACACATTCTCGTTAGCCAGTAGGATATGATGCCCCTGCTCGACTGACGGCGGTGCGGCTAATCCGCTTGTGATATCTTCTTTCCCCGACAATTGTCTTGTCGTAGCAGTTATCCCCTCCTGCCGCAGCCATGCTGGGAGTCAATGGCAACAGCATGCGCTCCAGTTCCTCCTCCTATGGAGATCCCAAGTACCTCTCCTCCATTTCGGCTGCAGCATTTGTGCCTCCTCCATCCAGAATCCTCGTGGACGGGTACCGAGGGGAACTCGACTCTATTCAGGATGCGAGCCCTCGATACAATCCTGTGAGTGTTTACATTGCAATTCAATTTTGGTTTCTACGTCACGAGCTAGTGTCTAACTTGTATTGAATCCCTTGGGGTTTGATCTGTATCCTTTTATAGCTCAATCCCACCCACCCAAGAAGCTCAGTCCTCCTAAATGCGAATGACCCGGTGGTTATGCATCTTCTTACAGAGACTGCGATAGGAGATAGTATGCAGTTCGAGGTGCTGTCGTTCGAGGAAGCGGAGGATCTGAAGAAGGAGCTCTCGTTGCTCACAAACCGGATTAGTTCCTCCAAGCGTAAATTGGCACTGGAAATGAAACTTCAGGAAGCAGCCGCGTCATTGGATAGACTGTCGGATGGCAGATCCAGCCGGGACAATGGTGACATGGATGGGGATGGTTTTCCAAAGTCGAGGCGGAAACGAATGAGCTTTTTTGGACGGAATAGTTGGGGAGAACACCATCGGGCTGACAGTGAACTGGCGATAAGCACACGGAAATGTGAAGAATTGGCCCAGGAACTTTGGAAATTAGAGCGCAGGGCCAACGAGCTCAGGAGGAGACTCTTGGAACACACTGCAGGTGTTCTGCAGATGACGCATAAAGGGTTGAAGAAAAAGCCTGTTATAACTAACAACCTTTCACGAAGCCCCGAAAGCATGCACGGAAGCCCGAACGCGCGAACTAATGGCAACTATCCGTCCGCGCCTCACAAATTTGATGATCAAAGTCTCTACCAGACCACAGATCACCTCGATAACTATGGCAAGGATTATGACAGACCAGGAAGGCTATCACGTTCCGAAAATGGCGAAGCCAGGTCAGTGGACTTGACAGCTATACAAAATACCGAGAAAAGGCTGAAGGAGTTGAACAATCGCTTACGGCAGATGATTCTGTCGACCAATTCAAGCCAAGATATAGATCCTCTGCCGACAACCTTCAGTAATAGTGGCCTTCCCAATCCATTGGCGGGAGTGGAAGCACACCTTAACTACCTTGAAAAGAACCTGACCTCCATGGCCTACCAACACCCTCAGGAAACACCCCAAGAGGCAAATAAGGTACCGAAATTCGTTAATGAAGCGGAGGAGAGACTGGAAGAGATAAACAGACGGATAGACAATGTCCTTAGCACTACAGGATCTTCTCGGTCACCCAACCCATCGTTTCCACCCCGCCAGAGAAGAACTCTTCAGGGTCAGCTCAGTTACCTTGAGCAGACGATTGATAGCATCCAACAACGGTTTGACAGTCTCGTCGAACATAAAACTATTTTGACGACGCAAATACAACAACAACGAGAGCTTAACTCCAAATCCGATGCACAGCGGGATGCTCATTTTGCGGAACTCAACGAGCAGATATCCACCTTGAAAAAGGAGCTGGAGATGTCACGGAGAGATGCTAGTGGTACGCGAGATAAGCTTTCGCTGGTAACGGATCAACTTGACGCTGCCCGACAAGAATCAATGATTCGAGAACAACAACGTGCCGAAGATGACGCAAAAGCTATAGCCAGCGCCCAGGAAGCCAAAGTGAATGCTGAAAATGAGCTACTAGTTAAGTCCAAAAGGATTGCTTATCTGGAGGATGCCCTAGAGGGAGCACGTAATGAGCAGGATTCGAGGACCAGAGAAGCCATTGAAGCAAAAGAAATTTCCGACAAAGAGCTCGAGAAGCTACGGTCTGAATATTCCGAACTCGAAAATGAGATGATCCGTGTTCGGACGGAACTAACGATGGCTCAAGCAGAGCTTGATGGGGCTTACGGTAGCCGTGCGGAACGCGCAGCGCAAGTTGCGGCCAACCCAGCGATCCAGAAAGAAATGGATGATCTTAATCAGCGCAATAGGAGTCTTACCGAGGAAATATCCATCCTTCGAGCAGAACAACTTAACAACAGCAACGATAGCGACAGCAAATCGAGCCTCCAGCAGAGGGTTCAGATACTGGAAAAGGAACTTCGAGAGACAATTGACGATTATGAAGTAATGACGAAGGCAAGCATTGCATTTGAGAAGGAACGGGATAAGCTCGAAACTTCCATCGACAATCTCCGCGATCGCTGCGAGAGTCTCGAATCAAAACTCAGCGAGGAGAGGGTGCAGAGTATGGGTAATGGTAGTCTTGGATATGGCAATGGATATGACAGGGGCACTTACGAAACGACTTCAACTATGGTGCTCAAGAACGAGTTCAAGAAGATGATGCGCGACACGCGGGCTGAGAATATGCGAGCTCTCAAGGTATGCATGCACATGCTTTCAGGAGAGACTGATGCGTTTGAAGTATATACTAACACCTACATTTCATCTAGGCCGAGCAAGAAGAAAGACGGCGACTCGAAACATTGATACGAAATCTCAAGAAGGAGCAAGCTGCGGGGAAGCTGAACTTAAGCCAGGGCACCTCTACCACTTAATATCCTCCCAACTGGCCTTACTATTTCATATTTTTCTTGGGTACCCCTACTTTTTAATGCCGCATCCCCTATACATCCGCTTAATTAGCTTCACCATGCTTCGGCGTCGTTTGGTTAATGCCCTTATAGCATACCTATTTTCCACACTCAGGAGTTGTGTTTTCTTTTTTCTTTTTTTTTCTTTTTCTTTTTCTTTCCTGGATATTACGATATGTGTAATCCGAGCCACCAAATCGTCAAACTTTCGAGATGCGCTCGTTCCTGAGTATTTTCGGATTGGCGCAAATGTTTAAGTTCCTAATAAGCACCGTTAATTTTGCTGCGCACCCGGACTCTCCCCCAGGTCGCGATTTCTTTTAGCTTGTGGAGATTGATTGCTTGGCCGGGGGGGGCAGCTCTTTCCCACTCGCCTGCAATACAACTTCTCTTGATCCCAAAACCTTTTTGTCATTTTTACTTCCATTTACTCATTTATTTACTTATTTATTTTTCTTCCTGACAAAGCCGTACGATCGGCTGATAGTCATGTTTCCCTTTAGATGAGGGTTGTCTATCGTTTATCTCCCACCCTCTGCTTCGTCTGTGTTGCAAAAATGACCTCCTATCAAAGGGGACGGTCCCCCGCCACCACCTATACCAATGACCTATATAACCGAATCCGATCTCGTTCGCTTGAAATTGATAAGCCGCGCCGGAGCAAACTCCGCCGTGTTGTGTCGACGAGAGCCTTCAGTCAATATATCGATTCCTCGGAATCGATCCCCAGTGAGCATAGTTCGCTCTACGATGCAGCCCTGGCCAGTTTCGAATCAGACGATAATAGAAAACAGGTTGATCCGGACTACTTCTCAGGGCAAGCTAGCCCTTCTACCCTTGCAACATCCAATGCTGAAAGGGAGGGCATGGGTATAATTAATCCTGGTCTGACCTACTCTCGCGGCAAATGGTCTGGCAAGAGGCTGGAGACTATAGTTGAGCAGAGAAGTGTTTCTACCCTCAATGCTTCGTTGCCACCCTATAGTAACTGTGTTGATGGGTCTGGTAATATATTGTTGATCGCACAAACTTCTACGTCGAACACCAAAGTCAGGAGGAACTCCTATGGTCACAAGGTTTACTCCTTTGATGATCTTGACATCCCGCCACCTCGTCCTAGTTATGCCGATTCCCGTCTTCCTAGCCGATCATCTTCATCTGGAGCAAGTTTCCAGCTGCGATGTTCCCTCCATGCAACTTCCCCTGTTGAGCCCACACAGCCGATATACCCTCCGCCTGTTCGATCTCCCACTCCCCCAGGACTTCCATCTTTTGGCTCCCGAGAAGCAATTCACTACAATCCCAACCAGGCCCGCCGCGGTCGCTCTTTGAACCACCAAAATCCAGTGTCGCGCGGAGGTACGCAGCGCTCTTCAGTAGCAACAGATGACGAGGATGATGATGCTTCATGTTGTGCCTGCGGTTTAAAGCGTCTCTTCGGTTTGCCATCTTGCATGGGCCCTAGCTTTCCTATCCTCCCTGCAGGTGTTGTTGCGAGGGCTGACGATGGCACTTTGGTTCGTGGTCGGTTTGGTGCCAGGCAAAGTGGACATGGAGTTGGCGCTGGGCCACATGCAAGGGGGCTAGAGGGCCACCCGTTCCATAGAAGCTCCCTGCCCCCTGCAAGAGCAAAAGATGCAGGTGACCCTAGCGCAATCCTACCAGATACGAGACCGCAATGTGAGCATAGAGGTCGTAATTTAGCCTCACAGCCTCGCTACGCGGCTCCCCAAAGCATGCCGCCATCATATAAATCCCTACTCCGATCGCATAACGCACCACATCCGGTACCACAGCGACTCTCCTGTCCTATGACCGGGAATTGCCCCACAGCTGCTACTACATCCGTCCCCATCCCATCATATATTGCTCATCGAAGGCTAGAGCCTCCCCTGCCACGTTCCCCGGAAGCGGTACATGGTTCTCAAAGTACCAACGTCCTGCTCACACCTGGTCCCGTTGGCGGGGGTAACGACGGGACTTCGTCCACATCAATCCCGGACCTACCCAATCAATCGCTAGCGCCCAGCCGGCTTCGCCAAAGGCCAAGATTATCAAGACAAGCCACAAAGGTAGTTGACAACAAGACCCCTGGTTTGTGGGAATGGCTGTTTATGGACTGCTTCTTTGTCTGCTGCGGATTATGCGGTGGCAACGAGCCTTCACAGAAGCGAGATCAGCCTTCTCGGCAAGGCCGCAGCATTGGTTTGGACGGTGAAAGCTCTGCGGTACCACCTGTTGGCTACATGGCACCAGCGGCGGTCGCTAGTGGACGTGGAGAGAGTTCACCTTCCACTCCGTGGAGCCCTGCTTGGGGGTGGCAGCCACGATGTTTTGGGGGAGACGGCCCTATGGATGAATAATTTGACATTGGAACTGCGACTGAGTTGCACCTAATACGAATAAATGAGTGTCAGGATGCTGCTGTTGCAAATCGGAGTTGATCATGATATACCCCCCTGTCTTACTGGTTAACCAAATTCGCGGGTAACCCAAGGGTTAACCTGCATTATATCTCTATCGGTGGATTGGGGGGTTCGTTATTCTGATTGGCGTATAGCGATTGCTAGGGATGCTGTTTAAACCGGCGGTCTGTGTATGTGCTGACCTCTTGTTGCAACAACAGTTGAATTCGTTTTGATTTCTTCGGTAAACGGCACAGTAGCTTTGGGAGAACAAGAGCAGTGCTTGTTTGGAATTTTTGCACTCGCTGCAGAGGATCGCTGAAAGCATGTTGTTTTGCTCACCCGGCCCTTTAGCAATGTCGTTCGTGAAACATTTACCTGCTATATGGGACTCGGCAGCTGTACCTCCTTTTTTAATGTTCTTCTATTGATAAGTAAATTAGCTGTTAACGCATGAAGCTGGGGTTATCCATGTCAACCGCTTGTCTTAAGAAAGCTGATATGCATTCTTGCAGACCGATTCACACTCCCCAGAATAAAAAGCGTCTCCTCTTATCAACATTTGATCCCTTCTGCTTGCTGCGTTAGTGTCTGACCATTTCACCTCATCCCTTTCTCTCTATATGCCTTTTCAAGCATACTTAATTGATCGTTTACTACTTCTTAGTTCTTCATCTTCTGAACAACACGACTAAAATTTGCCTGAACTTTGCCATGTGACTAAAGGAATGATCGACGAGCGACACTGAACCTCTCAAGGGAAAATACGCGTTCCCCAATACAAACTAACTTTGAATATCCTGGTTTTTCATTTTTTTTTTTTTTTTTTTTCCTGATAAGGGCTTTCGGATTTGGAAAGCAAAAATACCGGGAAGAAGATGAGAGCTTTCCTTTCTCTAGAGCTGATGATCCTTCAAGTGCTCCCACAGGATTGAAGATCACTTTTAAGTCAGGAAAGGGGACTATACAGCCCCCCTTGCAATATTGGATCTTATGCTCCTCTCTATCTCCGCGGGGCTCTCCCAATAACCACGTATGTCGAGAAATCCAAACGGAACAAATAGTAAGAAGTTGACTCTTCCAACCTCCCTCGAGGAACAATTGCTAACGATTCTAGTAGTTTACTGTACGATGATAGAATTTGAGTGGGCATCTGTTACTGGATTGACATCAGCGACATTTCTCCATCTTTTCTTAGGTCCACAACTAACTTCCCAATGTTTTCTACATGCCAACAGTAGAACGAACGCGACAGCGTTTCCAAGGGGCTCAACTCTACCAAGAGCAACGACGACTAAATTCGGGAAAGGAAAAAAACCACCGACGGTTTATCACACGTCCGGTTCAAGATCAAAAGGAGGATTGATATATTGCAAGGAGACTGAGAGATTACTCTATATATCCAAGGATACAGAAGTCAACCCTAGAGGTTTTCCGATGTTCTTGTCCATGAGAATCCCGAAATATGGTCGAATCATTTTTCCCAGGGCTTCTGGTTGCTGTATCCAAGCTGCAGAACGCTTGAAAAAGAATCGTTGTCCCAGATGGGCGGCCTGTCTGTCCATGACACCAGATGATTCTAAATTTCAAAGTCATGAACCGGCTACGCGTATAAGATATCATCGATATGGACATGAAGTCCTCTAACTTAAGGATGCCCTATTAACGAGGGAGGCAATGTCGCCTAGGTCATCCCTAGACGGCATTGGAGAAGCTCTAGAAATCAGCTCTAAAAATCCGCGCTCCCTACAGCTCTCAGCAGTGGAGACGACGGCATCAAGGTGTATGTACAGAAAAACTGACAATGGGCTAAAATGAGGCAGGACTTGAGAGAGTTGAATGTAATTACACGACCCTGGGATTGGCAATTGCGCTACTATTCGCCATTTGCAAACTACAAATACCTCAACCGGGCATAGATGGTTCCAAGGTTCCAAGGTTGGTATTCATTGGGTTGCTCTTTATCCCTCCAATCGCATCCAATCAACGTTCTACGTCTCGAGGCACGTAACTTCACCCTGTTACAACTTGTCTCAGGGTTCTAAATCCCCGTTCGTTGGGCAAAAAATGCGGAATTGAGAGGACGAAACACTGAATCTGGTACAGATCGTTCATGCGAGCTTATCATAAACACTGAAAAAGGTGACAATTAAACAAATGTTCAAAAAATCCTACTCAATCAAGTTTGTCAGCATAATGACGGATTTGATGAGCTTAGAAAGGATTCCTGGGTCCGCCTCCTCTGATAGTGTTGTCGGAATAAAGGAGTTCTATTCTCATATTGAGATTTTATGAGGCCTCTATGGGCAGTACCATGGACCCGGTTGCAGAAACGCATTTCCCACCCTTACTAGGTAGCTAGCATACTTACATCATACATGCAACGTTTGATGTCCTTAACCTATGCCTCCGCAGTGTCTCTGAGATAGGTATCGTTGAATCAACGGGCTGCAACCCAGAGTAGTTGCCGCGGCAGTGTGCGCGAACCGAGGTCCAGGGTCTAGAACCGGGGTTTTGTTGAAATTCGTGCGAAAATTGGAATATTTCTTCCGGTCTACATGGAGATTCCGTATCTCCAATCGGAGACTCATCGTTACCACAACTACTTGTACAGGGAAGTTCTAGCTATTAACCTTGTAACAACATGACGCAGACTTCAGACGTCTCAACGACTATCGGGCTCAGTTCCCACAGTTTATTCCAGCTCTAGCGCCAAAGAACATAAGCGGCATATCGGAGGTGACATGAGTCGTGTGCCGGAAACGTTATGTATATGCTGCAAAGTGCCATGACTAAGGTGTTGGAGGTTGTAAGCCTTCATAGAGTGCATGCCGAATCCGATTTCGGGTTCGGGATGAGGAGAAGGACCCGAGCCTAAAAGTTTAATCTAATCCGTTTTCCATGCGTTCAATGACACGGAACCAGTGAGATTTTCGGGGAAACGTGCGCAAATCGACCAGAGCAGGGAGGTCAACTGCTATCTCAGGAACCGCGGGACAACAAAAATTGCACATCAAAACATAGGCAATCCAAATCCACTGTGCCAACCATCTGCCCTGTGGCTGTCACAGCATTTGAACCGAACTCAACCGTGACCGGGATTTCCTCTTCCGAGACTTCCAGTTGCTGGGGGCATGTAGCATTTTTGCGTTTGGACAGGATGTCAGGAGGATACGCACAAACTCAGTGGTCAAGGCGATTGAACGAAATAACGCTGCCTAATGCTGAGCTAAAAAAAAAAAAAAAAAAAAAAAAAAAAAAAAAAAATACGAGCCCTTTTCTCTCTAGACAAGCCATGATGGGAGCATACGGCTACACAGAAGAATATTCCGAAAAATGATGAGGAGCATGTTCAGACTTCACACTGCTCTCTTCTTAAAAGGCTTTTGAGGTGCAAGTAACTCCTTTCAACCATCCCAGCTTTGCCTTCTACACATTTTGTCATCCGGGGCCTGTACAGGGTGACGGATAAACGCGATATGTCTGTAGAAGGTATATGAAAGAGTTTGGAAATACAGCAGATCCAATAGAGAAGCAACAGCTCATAAAATGAATCCATATTTTCCACGGCAACAAAACCATCGGAAATGGCTCATTAAAAATTTCATCATGAAACACGATGTAACTATATATTATTCCGGAATAACCAGCTACGCCGTGGAGCCGGATAAAAGCTTTGAGGCCTGGTTGAATAAAACGACGACATGGTGGTTTTCAAACTTTACCTTGCCTTGCAGCGATTCTTAAAATAGATTTCGACTGATTCCCATATGAGGTTTCCTTACCATGGTAGTTAGGGGCTGATGTTCTTTAAACGAGGTCAACACGTAGTTAGCTTTGACCCGGCTTGATGATACGATGAACCCATGGTGATAAACCTCCGGTTAAACCTCACAGCTAGTCTATTACGGGCTAGGTCCACACGGATAACGAACGGCTGATACCGAGAAGTTTAACGTTAATGTCGTTCCGTTGCTTCAGATCCCGAAGATCGACCAATAACTTTAATCATCGTGTGCCGAACTTGAGTTTGCCTTTTCGGCCCCCCCGGAAGCCAAATATCAAGGTCCCGAGAATCGAACCCAGGCACGCCCCCTGGCTGTCGGTTGCAGCGTATCCTATCGAGGCGAATTGTTTTGGTTGAAGTCGGGTTATCAAAGGTAACAACCCCTACACAGTAACAACCGCTGAAAGAGTAGTAAGGAGCTAACTCTATATTTCTCTTTCTAAACGACCCAGGAAGAATGGAATTCTGCTTTGCTCTACCCAAGTCCAAATGCTCAAGGCCCGGGATATGTCGGAGTCATGAAATTTCGGGAAATCCTGCTCCCGCTAAAATCGCATGGCTTGGACGAGCCGAAGGGCCTGCTGCCGCTCTCTAAATAACGCGTCAGGATCTCCTGTATAAAAGGGGCATGCGAGACCCCGCAAGAACTTCAAACGATGCATCTTCCATAAGTTCTAAAGTTCATACATCAACAACCTTATATTGAGTATTCCTCTATATTACACAACCCAACCAAACATCCTCTTTGCGCACCATCATGTTCACCTTCGGCAGCAACTGGTTCATCAGCCTTGCTGTTCTGTTCCTCTTGGGCGCCGCTACAGCAGCCCCTGCACCAGACAACACGGCGAACCATGAACCAAGCAAGGCCAATCTGGTTCCTCGCAGCTGCCAGACAGCTGCTCCGAAAATCTTTGCCCTGCTCGACGAGAACCGGCCCAAAGATTTCATCCCTAGAAAGGACTTCTTTGCTTTCTCCCGCCAATCTAAGTCCCCACACAATGACCTGTTGGCAACGTTTTCATTCGAATTACCACCCGGAGCGACAGGCTGCATGCTACAGATCCAATGGCCTGCACTTGATTTCGCCATCAGCTCTGGCCCCTCAGAGACAGCCGAAGTCTGGAAGGTGCAGCCTTGGGGAGCTCACGTTCCGGGATCGATTAAACCTTCTTTTGCCAACCAGCCCGAGCTGGATCAAATGGTTGGCACGGTCAATTTCTTCCCGGGGCCACAGACGAGCCCTTACAAGACTATTGTCGCCAGCGATTCATGCAAGCCCACCATGAGCTTTTTGGTCAAATTCGCAGACTGGCAGCAAGGGGGCGGTTTTGTGAAATTCCATAACAAGTTGGACCAGATTGGATGGTCAATGATTTACAACTGTTAGGCTGTTGGAGCTCTTCTCCTGGCTAAGTAAGCTTGGGCTTTGTTTCTGTATGTGTGTGGTGTGGTTAATACAGATGGAATGATGTCGGTGACTAAGAGGGAACTTGAAGCCCATTTTCATAGTTATTTCTTTTTAAGGGAATTAAAAAGGGTTGTATCATTTTACCTGTGTTAGTTACATTGCATTTGTTTGTCAGTGTAAATAATATCAGTGAAGATGTAATTTATTTTCAAAAAAAAAAAAAAAAAAAAAAAAAAAAAACCTCTGGAGGTGAAGGCATCAAAAGAGAATTCAAGATTGAAAGATGTCAGATCTCCGCATTTAAGGTATTGTTAGTGTCACATAGCAGCCAGCGAACTCTATCCACCCAACCACGCCACAAACTACCTAGCTATTGGGGTTACCTCCTCGGCCTCATATCCTCCAAGTTCAGAGAAAACTAACCATAGTTATTCATGTTAGAATAATCACCCTGAAGTTAAGTTTAGTCACTTCAACAAGTTAGGAACATAACAGATCAGTGAAACCTCATCAAAAGGCTGGGCCGACCTCTCCACATAACCACAAACTCGAATTGAAAACCATGCACATAAAGAGAGATAAAAACATTACCAGAGTAGTTTCTCTCCATAATCAAATGATCTCAATTTCTTGTAACTATTCCTGTCAGTATTTGTCAACTACTTTTCAAGCACTTTAATACTGCAAGAGTCAGCAGCATTCTTTAAAGCATAAATCATCTATAGTTTCCTTCAAACTACTATGAAGAAAAATACAAATATAAAGAACTTGAAACTCTGTGAGCATTTATTTGATGATTTGAATGAGACTGTATAAGCTTTTTGTGACGGCGCGCTGGCTACGGCTCTATGATGGCGTATGGCTTACGGCGTATGGCTACTCTACTGGCTACGGGTACCGGCATGGACCGGGAAGGGTAATAGCAACGGCCTGGCAACCGCCCTAAGGAAACTGCCTGCAACCCACCCCGCAAACAACCATCCCGTAACAAATACCACACAGAAACTGCCTAGCAACGGCATAGCAGCCGCTAGTGGGAAAGGGGTATAAAAGGAGAGGCTTCCCCAAGGCCCCTGTTTCGTAGAGCATCTTAGTATTTTGTTGAAATAGCTTGCCTAGCTGGCAATCGAACATCTGTTTATCTGCGCCTAGATTGAAGCCATAACATGTATGAGGTGAGTCTGAGAATTATATTTGGAAGATATATTATAAATCTATTAGATAGTGAGTCAGCTGATGAGCTTCTGTTAATATCAAAGCTGATGATATCTCTCACAACTTCACACTGCGATTTCAGCACATAATTTCAACGAAAGCTTTACATATCATCCCCGTTCTCATTTTCAACAGAGGTCATCATGTACTCAGTGTGTAATTCTATGATTGATATAGAAGTTTTTAGTGTGTTCAATGCGGTCAACAATTATATGTGAGTCTATAAGCAGCTGCAGTTCTGTAAAAATTATCAAAAGAAAACTGCATATTGTGAGTGATTCTGACATTGCTATCTCTTTATTGTATGAGACTATCTTAATGATCCAGTTGATTTAATTTCATCCTTGCCTGCGCTGTATCCTGAATAATTCCAGAGACTGCTCTTAGTATAAAAATGTATTATACAAGAGAGTGCAGAAGCAGAGCAGAAAGATTCTCTTCTGAGATGTTCTGCATAGTACTGACTACTACAGCCTCAGAGACCATGAGATTCTCCTTCTGTGATTTCATGAAGGAACAACCTTACTGATCTCCCCTTAGGTCAGAGCATGTTAGTGTCACTTTGCATGTGATATTGACTCACTGACTGGCATTGATAGCCTTGTTTCAAAGTATGGTATCATTGTGTATGCCCAGGAGGTCTTGATGCCTGAACTGCTGAAGATGATGGACCAGAAGGTCATGAGAGTTGATGTCAAAGATGCCTGCCAGATTCTGAAGGAGAGCAACAAGATCAGTGATTTGCTTAATGATGAGTAATCAGATGCAGGTAGTTATTTGCTAACAGTAGTGTTGTAATGTATCACTTGCTACCACACAATGATCAGCATTATAACTATCAAATGTAGTTTCTTGTCAATGCCCATTTACAAGGAGGGAATAACTAGATACGGACCATTGCCACTGGCACAAGAAAGAATTGAAACATCGTGTGTTGCTGAACGTCTCGGACCCCCCTAACAGAAAAACCAACCAAGATCGGTGCGTCTCGTGTGCTGTCCATCTGCAGAAAACTTAATTACAAGACTGGTATCTATACATGAAACGTCTTACTCCCGTAGTCTCGAGAAAAGCGATGTCATGAGAAAGATCATTCATCCATGTCTCTCGGAGCCATAGAGCTGAGCTGTGTGAATATAGGTGAGCGTATATGGGGGTTTATCACGAGTGCTTCCAAAGAGGCCCAAAGAATGTCCTTTCCGTTCTCTCCTCCCAACCCAACTCCATCCACGCGCGTTGGTCATTATTGTTCAGATAGTCGAGGCGTATCGCTTACGTCGTAGTTCTTTTTTTAGTGTAAGGAAGCTGCATGTTTTCCGCCTTTGAAAAATGACGATGGATTTTCCATGAGGGATTTCAATCACGAAAGGCAACCAGACCTAGCCCTCTTTGAAACATAACTATATGCTAGATACCGTTGCAATGCACGATCGGATAACTACGAGCCCTCCCACATGCTTCCTCACGAGAGAATCTCTCATGAAGCAACCGAGGTTTCCATTGCCACGAGGCCACTGGTGCGGCAACTGACACCTTCAAAACCACTGGATCCCCCACGGCCAAGCCCGCTGCTTCAACCTCCACCCCGAAGATGCACCACCCGACTGGGATCCCTGGGCCATTAGGAAAACTTTGCAGCTTAGCACCGCGCCCATGTCGTGCGGCTCGGGGAAGCCGTTCACAGGAGGTCCACTCCTGTATCCGAGATATCCTTGCCAGTGCCAATTCTGTAAAACACCAGAACGGTAGTTATTGGAGTTGGCAGGAAAGTGTGGATGTGAGTGCGGCAGGGAAGAATTTACCCCCGCAGGTGGTTATAGGGGATTCGAGGTTTTATCAGGACAGGGAATGGGAGGTATATATGAGGCATATGATTACATTACTTGCGGGAGTTCCTACATCGGACAAGGAGGAGAAATCCCAGATGTATCACGAGAAGGTACCGGAAGCGGAGGATAGTGATGACGAGGAATCCGCAGAGGATCATGACACTCAGAAGTGCGATGACGAGGGCCAAGACAAAGGGAAAGCACAATGAATCTTGGATGAGATAGGTAGGTAGAAAAGATAGATACCCATTTGCAGTCTATTTGCAGTACGATCCTATTCCGTCAGCTCTATAATGATCTGGAGGGAAGCCACTGTAGCAAGCTATGAATCGACTGTTATCAAGAAATTCTACAGCTTTCTCGTCAATGCCGTTTTGCCAGTAGAATCCAAGCATCGCCGTATCCCAAGCTGACGAGAAATACCCCACCCTCTTGCTAAACCTGCAGGCAATTATGCCTTCCTATTGAACAAGACTTCCTTACCAACTTGGGATGCGAGCTAAAAAGACAATGGTTCAGACAAGAGGAGAATCCACTACGGCAGGATACGGTCAAACTCAGAACTCTACCTTTTCCTACATTTAGCAAACTGGGCAATTAGACAAGAAACGACACTCCGCGCCGTGCCATTTGCTAATAAGTTGGGGACAACCAAACTGACCATCTATATCGGTGAGGGTTGTGTTAGTGAACGGGACGGCCCGGAAGGTACCATACAAAATAACGTTCCCAGCATTGGTGGTAACTAGGGCAGCTTCGGCCAATAGGGATCCTGTTTTGGTAGCTCGTCTACTCCCCAGGCTTCACTCGTTCTATCGAGGTGACGATGAAATAATGGTTCATTAGTACGGAACTACTTGTCCAGATGGATGATCATTGCCTTGATTTCTATAATCATTTATAACTATTTGTGTCTTTTCTTTGGCATCTTGATTGCTTCTGAGGATTTGCTTTCATTTTCCCGCGTTACTGGAGAAGCACGCGAGGGAGCAATCTGTGAGTTGGGGAGAGTCGGCTGGGTTTCCTCTCAATACAAATGTAAAACTTGAGTCTTGGACATCAGCTGTCATAAACGGAAAGTACATGAATGCTCATCAGCAAATAGGGTTTTACAGCATCCAGGAGAACAGAGTTTTATAGCATAGCTCCCAAGGATTCATCAGTGAATGGTGCAACGAAGCATGGAGAATCCGACAACCATCAGTGAGATTGGTAATCTCTCACTCCGCAAAATGCGTGTCACTAGTTGGATAAGAGGCTCAGATGTGATCTCGCACCCACATGGCAATTGTTGCTCGAGAGGGGGGGCTCATGCCCAAGCTGTTGGAACTTGGATTGAAGTTCAGGCTTGCATGGCTATATTTGGCTTAGTTCCGAGTGTAGAATCATCACATGATTATTATGGCTCTTTGCTAACAAAATAGAACTAACTAGCCTGCATAGATCTCAATGCATTGCAATCGAACGACACATTTGAGATCAAAAAACGTCTTAATCAATCCTGATCACATCCCTATAAGCTCTCTCCCATCCCCTCAGGCAGCAAGCCTGATGGCGTGCTGATGCAGCACTGCCAGCACACCCAGCCCCCCAACACCACCAAACGCGTCCTGAGCCTTGACGCGCATCTGCTCCCCCATACGCCATCCATCCAAGAGACCCCATCTCCTCACCCCAATCGCCCACCGCACATGTGAACTGAATGACATGGAGTCTCCAAGCTCCCCTACACCAGCAGGCAGCTCAAAGAGCAGAAATGTCACACCAATATGTCTCAACCTACATGGCCTGATGGCTAGTGATCTCCTAGCCGCCCATGAGGCTGAGGCACAGAAATCCCATGCAGAAGCACTAGCTGCTGCAAATATGCTTGATCAGATTGAAGAAGACTTAGATGTCATGAAGGCAAAAGATCTATCAAGGGCACTGGCCCTTGGAGCTGCTGTGAAGGCACTAGTCAAGAACTGATACAATGAAAGTCTAGAAACAGCTAAGCAGTCCACCACAATCAAGCCTGCTGGCTCCACTGGTGCAAATGATGCAAGAGCTCCTACCTACACAAAGACAGCTGCAGACAGCATCAATGTAACAAAAACATCAGCAATCATACTGCAGAAATCCCTGCTTAGAAATAACTTCAGAGAAGGAAAAACATCATAAATTCTCACATGCCTGTCTTCAGATCATCTAGCTCACAAAGCAAGTTCAATTGCTACTCTTAGAAAGCTGAAGACTGAACTTCCAGAGTCTTTGACAGCAGTCATCACAGCAGTTCAAGTCATTCTCACAGACATTGCCATCATTTCTAGAAGCTTGCAAGACATGAAGACCCTGCTAGTCAAAAAGAATGTTTTAGCAGCCACTCTCATCAATGCTCAGATAGAGAAGAAAGAACATTAAATCATCTGTCTGATTTCTGAGCTGCTCATGAAGATTAGTGACTATGATGATGAAACTCTGTGTCTCTCAGCAGAATTCATGACAGAAGAATTCACATCTCAAATCAGAATCAAGTCTGTTCAGAGTTGCTGAGCAAAAATACACTCTGAAAACTCAACAGTCACTCTTATATTACACTTTTCACAAGAGACAGCAGTAAACCTGTCATCAAAAGTGAAACTATATAGATATCAAAGACCAGTGATCAGAAAGGCATCTAAGATCAAAATACAACAATGCAGCAAATGCTGAGAATTTCATCAAAAGAGATACTGCCTTCACATCTCTCACTGCAAAAAATACAGTTCTAAGAATCATGTGAAAGAAAATTCATCCTGTCATAAGAAGAATGAAGCATGTGAATGCTCCAATTGCTGCACTAACTGTCTTGAATCATATGTCATATATGATTCATCCTGTCTCACCAGACCAGGGATAAAGAATGAGACTGTTCAAAGACACTCAAGAAATCAGCTGAGAAATATCCACAATGCACAGAGTAAGACATACTTGATCAAGACAAGTAACAGCAAATGCAGTGATTGAGATTCATCAGCAGACCTGAGATTGAATGATTCTACTGAGTGTAGATCTAATCTCACACTAACATCAAACACAGCATCAAGCACAGCATTGAGCACAGCATCAGACACAGCATTAGACATGATGTTCAACTCAACATCTAATGCAACACTCAACACATCATCTCATGCAACAACACTCTTCTTTCAGCTACTCAATGAAGAAGAACTCTAGATCTCCACAATTTCTGCAGATTATGCAAGTCAATGTAGAAAAAGAGAGTCTAGCATATGAGACAGCTCTCAATCTAGTATTTGAAAGAAAGACTGACATTCTTCTCATACAGGAACTCTGAATTCACAGAAACTTAAGTCAACACATCTCTAAAAAGCATTCAGCATTCAACTGCTTTGTCTCAATTGAAAAGTGGGACAGGAAGTCACAGGTCCTCATCTATATGCATAAACATTCACAAATTCATGCTCATGCAGTCTCAGGCTCCTGGGCAAAAAATCAGAACATTCACATACTGCACATACAGGCCTGAGATCTACAGCTTCAGACAGTCAACATATATAATGCATCTTCAAGCACAGAGAATTCTGAACAAGATGTGGACTGTCTTCTCTCCTAGTCTGTCTCAGCACTCCCATTGCTTCTCACTGGCAATCTCAATATCAAGCACCCTGTGTGGCAATCAGGAATGTCTCTAAGCATATGAGTGGAATCATTCCTGCAATGAATCATGAATTTCAACTTTACTCTCACCATGGACTCAGACACCCTCACATGTAGGTATAACATGATAAACCTAGCCTGGGCCACTCTGGAATTAGTTATCAAAGAAGTGGACACACAGGTGGACAGATCTCTTTACATCTCCTCTGATCATCAGACTCTTTTCATCAAAATTAGCCTTTTACAGAGTGCAAGGCCTGACAGGCCACCCTATTTTTTCCATCTTGACACCATGGATGAGAAGGTCTTTAACCAGACACTGAAGATCTATAAGTCAAAACTAGACAAACTATGTGATATCTCAGAGTACCCCAATACAGATCAGCTGGATGCCCTGGCTAAAGATATCATAGATGCACTAATAGCTTTTCTGGAAAGTTTCATCAAGAAGAGCACTGGGCAAGGCACAGGTCAGTCATGGTGAAATGAGGATTGTCAGAAAGCAGTGACAACACTACATCAGACACAGCACCTAGACTTTAGTTTTTTACAAGAAGCAAAAAGCAATGTAGCCAGGATCATCAGAAAAGTCAAGAGAGAATACTGATGAGACAAGATAGCAGAGGCCTCAGCAGAGAAAAATATCTTTAAGATGATTAAATGAGTTCATTCAACTGGCTCTTTTCATTTCTCCCCTCTTGTAGATGAAGAGACTAAGCTAACATGAACAATTTCTAGAGAGAAAAGAGATCTTCTGCAATAGTTGCTCTTATAGAAGACTGCAAGCAGAGAGAATATTTCAGTTAGCTGATTCAATTCATCATTTGTCAAATTATCATTTCCTGTTGTCTCAGCACATGAGATATAAAGTTCTCTGCTGAACACAGGTAATATCACTTCAGAAACTGATGAAGTGCCAACAGAGGTGCTACAAAAGGCATGATCACATATTAAAATATCAGTGAAAAGGCTGTTCAGAGTCTGCTTTAGAGTTGACTGACACTCAACCTTCTTTTATGATGTCACACTGATTGTGCTGTCTAAAGTCAATAGAGATTCAACACTTCTGTGATCTTACAGACTTATAGTCCTTCTCTCAACATTGAGAAAGGGACTGAAATGTCTGATAGCTCATAGACTGGTCTGAACAGCTATACAAGAGAAGATTGTTCACTCTCAGCATTTTAGAGCCCTTCCTGAGCAGGCTGCCTCAGACCTAGTGGCAGTGATGATTCATGATATAGAGAAAGCCTGAGCTCATAGAAAAGTAGTCTCTCTTCTTACTCTGAACATCAAGAGTGCTTTTGATGCTGTACTCAGAGAAAGAATGCTGCAGAGATTGCAAGAACAAGACTGACTATCAAATTTAATTAGATAAGTGAAAAGCTTCATGACAGAACACACAGGCAGAATCAGATTAGATGGACTTCTGAGAGAGCTCTTTGATATCTCAGCAGAGCTTTCACAAGGCTCACCAGTCTCATCTATTCTATTCATGCTGTATATTCAGCCTCTGTTCTTTCTAGAAACTATATAAAGAAGATGTGCATGCTCAGGCTACACAGATGAT